TTAAAAAAAAAAAAAAAAAAAAAAGAAGAGAGAATACAGACACAAGAGGAGACCAACCCGGCCCTAGAGAGCACGTAGAATCTCACGTGTCGAGCACGTGAGCTAGAAAATACACGAACTGAAAATAAATATTTGTTTTTTGTTCGTGAAAGGGTTTCAGATCGGTTGATTGGTCGGTCCCTTTGTAAAAGATGAAGCCGTGGAAAATCAACCGGCTGGATCGGTTGGTGGAGGGGATGAAATGACGGAAAACCCAACCCAGGAAGAACGGCAATTGGGACTTCGTAATTTTAAGTTTGTAACCTCTCTTCCAATTTCTATCTTCAGAAATTTAATTTAAAGGCTAAAAAGGAAGGAAAAGAAAAAGTGTCGGTTGTGTGGTTCTATTGTTTTCCGGTATCCGGTGGGCCGATTGGAATGTGAGGTGTAATTTGTATGGGCTGTTTATGAGCCCACTGTAACGTTCCTCTTCAATTTTGGGTTATTTTCAATAACATGCTTGGAACTGAAGTTGAACTTCAAAACAAAAACAAAATCATGTATTCTATGGGCGGATGGATGGGTGTAAGGATGCGTCCATGAAGGCGGTGGCCCAGAGTCCAGACCTTGAGAGACACGGGCAAAGCCACCACTACCACATGGAATACGACGTTCAGAATTCCGAAGTAAGTCAAAGACCTTTCCATCCAATATTAAGTTCTTGGAATGCTTCATACGTTACAGGCTAATTGACACCCTTAGATGTATATGCCATTTCTTAGCTATTTAATTAATTTTACTTATCAATCACATTTTTTTTTTCAAGAGTTTTAAATGATAGTATTCAATTCACTATTTATTTTTTGTTCAGTTGAGGTGAAGAATGTTTTATCCATTAAGTTATGTTTACATGAGTATTTACCTAACTTATTGGATTCCTTAAATTTTGAATCATTTTATTTTAGTTTATTTTTTCTTATTTATTTTAAGTATTTGAAAATTCCTTATGGGTGTTTTATTCCATTTTGTTTTTAGTAAAAGAAAAATTGACTACACTAACATAGCTTCTAATGCAAAGATTATAAACTAAAAGAACTATAAAAAAAAAAAAAAATTAGACGTTGAAATAAAATATTATACTTGGAACAAAAACAAAATAAATATAAAAAATAACCCAACAAAATACTCTTTTGAGTTTAGGGTTTCAAATTCGTATTTTACCTCTGGGTTCAATTAAAAGTTTTTATTAAAGTGAACCTTTGTAAAATATAATAAAAATAAAATAACAACTTATGAGTCCAATCACTTAAAAACTCAAATTCTCTTGAAAGTTGCAAACCCTTTAGTTTGAAGTAAATACGTATAAATTTCACAACCAAAGAGATCTTGAAAAAAAAAAAAAAAAAAAAAAACAATAAGAGATACCTCTCAAGACTTTGTATCGATCATTGAACTACCAAAATTAAAGATATCTTGAATTAGGATCATTTAAAATTAAAATTTAATAATGTTAGTGTTCTATATTTTTCTCATAATCTCTGCGATGGATGTTGAGGTCCGGCGGAGAGCGGCGGAGGGAGAGGAAAAAGCCAGCGAATGGCAACCAATAAATTAGTTAAAAATTCAACAGCCAGATCAGGCTCCGGCGGCGCCAGCCGGACACTGCTTTGTTGTTGTCATTGGTTCGGCCACGACCTAATCACGCGTTTATTCCGCGTGTGGAACCAACGACCTCACTTTCTCTCTTCTTTCCTTTTTTTTTTTTTTTTTTTTTTGAATTAAAAAAACTTTTCATTCTTACATTTTTAATTAGTTTTAAAAACTTATATTTTTATTCTATTAAACTTTTTACTACTACTATTTAGTTTTTTTTTTTATGCTGACATTTCATTCATTAATTTTAATATTTTTATGTATAATTTTTAATTAATTAAACAAAGATGAAAAATAATTAAATAAATAAAAGTGAATAATTTGAACGTAAAATACTAAAATTAAAACTAAAAACTTACAAACAAAAAAAAATCCCTTTTTTGCAATTCCAAGTCATGAGACTTATCTCTATTCCTCTCTGTCAATTACCGTAAATACCCCTCCACATTGCTCTCTCTCATACTTTTAAAATTTTAAAATTTATTTTTCTGCCACGTGGCTCAAGCCCAATTATTATTGGCTGTACAACATCTTGGTTTTCCTTTCGTTGACCATGTAAAAATTTAAATTCAAAAGTCTTAATAAATTAGATTCCTTTTTCCAACATACAAAAGCAATTATTCTTAATAAATATTCTTCACTTTTTTCTTGATCACTTATTTTTATTTTTATTCATTCTATTTTATTTATAATTATGAAAAATTTTAATAGCAATAAAATATCTACTTTGGCTTCTATAATTTTAAAAAATTGTTTTATGGTTATTATAATATTATCTAATATTTACCAAATTTTACCGACATAAAAAAAAAACTCTCTAATTTTATTTCTCATAGGGTCTTAACAGAAAGAAAATAAAATTATATTATAGACACTTGTAATTTAAATAAAGTTGAGATTCTAATATCATATTGAATAATAAAATTTGAAGATTAAAATGTATTTTAATATTAAAACTTTTTAAAAATAATTCGAATTTATTTGATTACGTGGAAAAAGAATTAAAGCGAACACGGACACAAGACGTGTTAATAAGTGGACAAAAAATAATTTCCGTTGTTTCTGCGTTTCTTCTCAGGGGCACAACCGTCAATTCATTGCTCCCCTCCGTCTCGAAGCTATAATTTGCAGGGCTGAGCCGTTCGCTGTTCGCTTACCCCACCGATTCACCGACAGCTACATATAAAGAACAGAGCAAACCATATATACCAAGCAATCCAGCAAAATTTCAAATACCCATTGCAAATTTCTTTGGAAAGAAACCTTCGATTCGCTTCATCGAGAAACCCAAACGTCAATCGAGTGTTCTTGTGGCAGGAGGGGTGATGTCGAATCAAGATCTAGAGCGAGGAGCGGCTAAAAATCCACCGAATAGTAACCCAACTGGGAACTATTCAGCTCCGCCTTACCACGTAGAAACTTCCGAGAAGCAGTGGACGCCATGGCTAGTTCCAATGTTTGTTGTGGCTAATATTGCTATGTTCATTGTGGTCATGTACGTCAATAATTGCCCCAAAACCAATCTGGGTTTTGAAGATAAGTGTGTGGCCGGTTTTCTTGGGCGGTTTTCATTTCAGCCCTTGAAGGAGAATCCCCTCTTGGGGCCCTCTTCCAATACGTATGTTTCTTCTTCTCCTCTGTTTTTTTTTCTTCTTAATTTCATCTCTGTGTGTGCGCTTGGTGTTTTGATTTAGAGTGTTTTTTCGTGGATTTGATTCTATATGCTTATGAGTTTTAGAGTTTCGTTTTGCCCTTTTGGTTGAGAGGGGAAATTTAGTGATGGCAATTGAGAGTGTTTATGTTTCGAATTTGGGGAAAAGAAAATTATGGATTGGATTCTTTTGTGTTCATATGCTTCTGCGTTTAGTCCTCCATTCATCTTAATTGAATCTATTTGCCTGAAACATCTTGGTGTGCAGATTGGTGAAATTGGGAGCTTTGAAATGGGATAAGGTCGTCCATGAGCATCAAGGATGGAGACTCCTCTCCTGTATTTTGTTGCACGCTGGTATCATTCATCTTCTTTCAAATATGTTGAGTTTGGTTGTGATTGGGATCCGCCTTGAGCAGCAATTTGGATTTGGTATGTCCCTTTTCTTTGAAGTCTTATTTTAAACATTTGTAGCTAGTTATAAACATTTCTATGATCAAACAGAGTGAGCGTTGTGGGTATCAGCTTTTCTGATTGTGTAGGATAATTTTCAGCTGAGTTTCGAATCTTTTTGTTGGATGATGCCGACTTCCATTATCCCCTTACAATGCCATCTTTAACTTCAAGTACCATTAGTTAGCCTCAAATTGTTTACTAACACAAAGTTTTGTGAGGGAATCAAGTACAAATGAGTCTGCAGTTGTGTAGTTATCCGCCCGTCAAGCCCTTTCCTGTCTGAACGTCTTATATTTGTTTTTTCAGTGTGCATCGGAATAATATATCTCGTGGCTGGAGTTGGTGGTAGCGTAATGTCTTCCCTGTTCATCCAAAACAGTATCTCAGTTGGTGCTTCTGGTGCCCTCTTTGGACTTCTCGGAGCTATGCTATCTGAGCTCTTGACAAACTGGACGATTTACACCAACAAGGTTAGCTACTACTCATCGACTTCAACTGAGTATTTGTGTTTGTCATAGTTTTATCTATTTACTTTCACTATGGTGAGTTTGAGTTCCATAGCTAAATAAACTAATTGTGTTTCTGTAGGCTGCTGCACTCTTTACCCTCATCGTTATTGTAGCAATTAACTTGGCAGTTGGAATTCTACCTCATGTAGACAACTTCGCGCACATTGGAGGATTCTTAACAGGATTCCTTCTCGGGTTTGTGTTGCTCATTCGTCCCCAGTTTAAATGGATTGAACGTCATCATCTGCCACCCAGTGCTCAACGTGTGCCCAAGTATAAAATTTATCAGTATATTCTCTGGATTGTTGCTGCAATTCTACTAGTTGCTGGGTAAAGCTCAAAACCTTACTTTTCATGTAGTAGTAGTTCTTTTCACTTCCAACAAATTTGATCATATTTGAATCAAGTAAGCTAATTCAGTCCATTATTTGTTGCAGTTTTACTGTTGGGCTGGTGATGCTATTCAGGGGGGAGAACGGGAACAAGCACTGCAGCTGGTGCCATTACTTGAGCTGTGTGCCAACCTCAAGATGGGACTGTGGGAACTAATCACTTTTGTTTTGTGTACATAGTCACACTTAACACTTCACTTTTTGGTCCTTCGGGTTTTAGATTGCTTTTGGCTCCATGTATATTAATAGTTTGAGTTTATGATATATTTTCAGATCAATATTATTGATTATTGCCCTGTTTCGTACATGGATAAACTGTTCTAATATCTGTAAGAAACTTGAGAGAAACTTGGGGAAGATGGGATCATTGTCTTTTTGGAGTCGAATACGTGAAAAATAGAGTAGAAACAGAACAGAACATAGATTACTACCATCATGAAAATTCTAAGAACAATGATATGTCTTTCTAGTTCTAAGATTGAAAACTTGGCAGACCTCAGGTCTCAAAGTTCATTATTAAGACTACTGATATAAGTAAGCAACTATTGTGAAGTAGAAGAGGGGTAAGAAAAGTGAGATATTAGACGGCGTCAGTATCTGTAACCCACAGGCATACCGAGTTGGTCGAGTCGACCTGAACCAGGATAAGCTTTCCCAACAAAATTGGACTGCAATGTTGATACCTGCTGTGGAGTCAATCTTGATTCCCCAACGCCATATGCAGAACCCCGCTTAGCAGAACTCGATCTCTCGTACTGTGGGCGCTGTCTCGGAGCACTATATGATCTCATTTTAGCTCTTGAAGATTCAGTACAGGCCATGTAGCTCGGATACTCCAAGTCGCCACTGAAATAGCTCCTCGTACTGTCGCTCTTGGTCGGGGTGAACGGGCTTTTCTTCGTACTAGCACCCCTTGACGAGACGGAAAAGAAAGAGCTCTCCTCAACTTCATGAGAGAATTTAAATGGACATTGAGTTTCAGACTCTTTTGATGAAGGCAGTTCAGAAGACAGAGCAAGCTTGATGGAGCTAAAGAGGCTCTTGGGTTTCAACTTAAACTGAGTCTTATCATTCTCGATTTCAAGGATTCTATCAATTTTTTCAACATCAATAGTTGTAAATCTTGAGCCACTCCTCTGCATCTGTTTAAACCTAGTGCTCCTTGTATGTGGGCTGTGTTCAAATTTCTCCGGCGTAGCAGGATCCTACAAAACAAAAGATCTTTAGCCAAGGCAGCCATGTTTGATGCTGCTGCTACAATATGGGGAACTAAACAAAACTCACAAGAGTAGAGAAACTAGACGATTTGATATCCGAATGCGAAACTTCATAACATTGACTCCGTCCTGATCGAGCCCGTGCCTGTGCTCTGAGTAACGCTTGCATCCTCTGTATCCATTCAGCTGTCCGCTTCCTCTCGATATGGCCTCGAACCAAAGCCTGAAGTTTCACCAACCCTCGTAGAGCTCTCAATGCCTTCCTTGCCTTCATCAAATGAAACAGACAAAAACAATCAAACCCAAGTGGAAAAGGCTGAAAGGAAATCATATCAGTATTTAATTCCCATAAAGACTTCCTCAAGTGAAAAGCTGGCTAAACATGAAGAAGACAGACATTACAGAATGCCATAACTTGGTACAGTTCAGTACAACATTAAATACTCCGAACCAACCCAATGTCCTATATGCAAAGCTTCTTCCAAACAATGTTATATTCATAAAACATATATCCAAAAGAAGAATGGCATAAAACTGTAGCCAAACAGAGCCTAATTCCATTTCCATCAAACCGGACGAACCAACCCCACTAGGCATCTCTTACATCTGATCCACCTATGCCACCAAACAAAACAAGCCCCCTAGCTTCATTTTCTTTTGGGTTTGTGATATCTCAACTGGGTTCCTAAAAAGATGAGAACTTTCACCTGGGTCTGGGTTAAAAAAGGTGAAAGCTAAGTTTTTTACCATAAAAAATCACTTTTCTTGAAATGACAGAGCTTTTTCTGAGATCAAAATGAAGAAAAAAGTAACATTTTTCGTAAATGATATAAGAAAAAGTAAAGTCGAGAGGGTAAATTGAAGATAGAGAATACAAAGATAGCAAACACTCAGCACCATCTACAATCTGAACATTTCCTTTTCTTTAAACAATTTCCAAAAATGAAATAAAATAAATAAATAAACAAATGTAAGTACAGAAGAGAGAATCCAGAGCATCAATATGGTGAAAGCTCCCTTCCACCTTACAATAAAAGGGAGTTAAAGTGACAGGTGGCAGAACTGCAGGGGAAGGGTCACACGCGGTGTTCAGATGAAGAGATAAGACGACACCGTTTTGTAGTTGGAAACCAGTACTACGAAAACGACGTCGTCCGGAAGAAACTTTCGTGTTTCAATGTAAGAAAATCCTTCCCGTTTCCCATTGGAAAGCAATCGTCCAACCACTTTGTAAAAAGCTTTATTAATTTTTGGAAATTGTATATTATTTTTAATATTTAATCTGATTTGATTTGAGATGTGACTTGTGAGTGAGTAGAGAGCTATGAGTGTGCACCACACCCAACAGCTAAGACAAAAAAAACAAAAAAAGAAAAAAAGGATGCTTTTTGGTAATCCCAATGTCAAAAGTTGGAGATTTTATTAGTTGAGATTCTAAACCAAATAATAGAGAATGAAATGGTTGAATTCCAAATTTGACTTTAAATCTCTTTCCAAGGTGTTTTTGGCACTACAAATGAATTAAACCAAATTTTAAAAGATGAAGAGTATAAAAAACGAACCAGAAATCCACGAAATGCCGCCTGGATTTTGATGGCGGCCCACTCAGCCTCGTGAAAGGCATGGGCAACCGTCATGCTGGGCACGGACCGTCCACTATTAGTGAGCTTGACGACGGCAGCTGCGGCATGAGCGGCGGCGACGGCGGCTTCGGCAACTGCAGCGGAGGCGGCAGCGATGGCGACGGCGTGGTGGTCGGGATTGGAGGCGGTGGAGTCATGGTGACGGGTCTTGGTGTTGTCCTTGTAGGATTTGGCGAAGTGCCATTTGGGCTTGAGCTTATTGGAATTAGGATTGTTGGGTGTAAGTGGGTCGGGTTTTTTGAGACCGAGGAGGCTGCGGAACCATTTGAAGGCTTTGCCCATTAGAGGCTTAAGGGGTGTGGCGGCGGTCGGAGGCGTGGGTTTTGGTAATGGTTTGGGCCATGGCGGGTTCAGAGAAGAGGAAGAAGAAGAAATGGGAGGTTGAAGAGAGAGGTATGGGAATGGAAATAGAAGAAGAAATGATATTGTAAATATGGGACCAAAAGAGGGGAGGGTAGTGGGAAGTGGGAAAGGGGCTAAGTCAAGTCTATTTGGGCGCGTCGGTGAGTGCCCTGTAATACTACTATCCCTCGCACGTGCCGTCCTTTTTTCGACACCTTTTGCTGTCTTCAAAATTCCTATTTTCTCTAATCCATTCTTCTTTTTGTGTTTTAAAATATAAAAATACAACAAAATATGTTTGGCATACTTATTTTCGAAGACAACAAGGTTATTGTTTTTTTCTTCTTCTCACAATACATTCTCTTAGAGGCCTAGTGTTTTTGCCGATATACCGTCTGATGTCTGGCTCAGATACTATTTGTAATAGCCTCAAGCCCTTCTTCTAATAGTAACGTACTTAAGGGAAATGTCAAACTAGGTGGTACGTGATAGGTCAAAGCATATAATATTTGGGCGGTTACAAAATAGATACACGCTATTAGCCTATGACTAAGAATTAAATAAGATGCATATGGTAAACTGCAAAGAAAAACTAAATATCCTCTACAATACGAGATATTAGCCTACTCAACCGTATGTACGAAATGATATTTTCTGTGATTATGTGAATGAAACCCTCTAAAATTCTTGTACATGGACAAGTCATTCATCTGGGTATTAATATTGTGATGAGGTTAGTCAATCATATATTAATTCGTAGGCCCACGCCAATCTTTTCCAACTAATTTGATTTTCAATTGACCAACCAATTAATAAAATAATTCAAATTCAAATTCAAATATAAAGCAAAAGATTGTGGATATAAATTAAATTATGAACAATCTTTTTCTCAAATTCCCAATTATATTGACAACATATTAGGTGTTATCCATTACTATTAATAACATGAATTATTTGATCTTTCACTAAACTATTTTAATTTTGTTTCTTCTTTTTTTTTTTTTTTTTTTTTC